TTCCTGCTGGAACTAAGTAGCTATGCAGTGAACACTGTTCTGAAATTTAAACTTTGCTAACAAGTGTAATTTCAGTGTCATTCGTAAATCTTTGCCTGCATAGAGAAGCAGATAAGTTTGGTGTTGGCAAAGAGACACTTGTCTATTATAATTTTATATGAAAAATAGGTAGTCCATATAAATCACTGGCGCAAAAAGGAGGATAAAATGTTATTTCAGATGGACTGACCTATTCTAGAATAAAATGTGTCTTATTTGGTGCCCTAAGAAATACAGAGAAGAGCTGGTAATTGCTGTAATAGATAACAATGAGGCCAGAGAAAATTCTTAACAAAGCAACCATTATTTTCATGAGATTATAGCTTCACCTCTTCAGGCATTTCCTCTAGGTCATGTAAGTGGATAGCAAAATAAACAAAGTGGTTATATTATTAGCTGGGGTTTGGGAATACTTGTTTGAATCACTATTGTAAGGATGTCATTATCTTTGACATGGCTTCCAAAGTAACCATTCAAACTTTTCTTATCAATGTGACTATCAGAAATGTAAACAAACAGCCATTTAACCCAACTGTCCTTTTCCAAGCTGTCAATATTGAAGTGACCTATGCTCCATCTTCACAAGAAGGACAGATTAGTTGGCAGGTAGGATTGCCTGGAAGATTTCCTCTTTCTTTAAGTCCCTGATGGCATTTCTCTGGCTTTAGTCACACCACACATCTAGAGGCTAATCCCTTTTCCTGAAGCAGATCCATTTAATCTTCTCAAGTCAAAGCCCTCCCTTTTCTTTTTCATCAGAATAAAAAGCCACAGAGAAGGTGGCTCCCATACCATAGGATCAATCTAAACAGCCACCAGGTAATCTTTCTGTTACTGTCCACGGGGCAAACACAGGTTACCTAATATTGGCTATGATTCTCAAAACACAGAAGATACATTGAGAAGATGAAAGCAGGGTGGTCAGACAGCTCCAAGAGTCTGTTTAAACTCAGAAAGCATGGCCACACAAGTCCTCCTTTAAGAAAGCATGGCCACCCAAATCCCCCTTTTTGGCCAATCATGCCCATAATGATCTTTCTTCCCTTAAATGGCAATTTTCAACCATAAAGGGATTGGACGCCCAGTTTATGATTGTAGTTTGGATCTTTGGATTCACTTCTATTCCACTCTCACTCTCACCAGTCGTGAGGCGTTTATTTTCTTGTTGAGAGCATTTAGGTGTAACGGTCTATGAGAACATCGCTCTAAGGTTCTGTGATTCAGCCACAAGTGACCAAGCGACAATCATACCCAAATATTAAAGTTATTTTTCAGAGCTGGCAGCTCCATCTGGAGGAGAAAAAGAGCCCTTAGGACAATAGAGGAGATTCAGATACTTTGCTGAAGGCTAAAAAATCAAATCATTGAAGGTCATCCAAGAGCTGAACAATGTCCTTGTCAAACCTCCAAAAGAAGGCTCCATAGGATTATGTTTGGCACATAGGGGAAAAAAATTAGTATAAAGGAAATTCCCACATTGCAACATGACCTAGATCCTTCAACAAGGTTGCTGTTTTGCAAAGCTGTTGCCAGATGCTGTTTTAATCAAAGCCAGCCTTCCTTGGTGCAACACTCAGTGAATAGCTATTTCTCCACGAGCACCTGAAAGTATCAAAGAGTACTACAAGATCGTTTATCTGGGCTGCTGGCCACTGTTTCCCACAAAGATGAGAAAATGGTAGTCATTCTGTCAACAGTGGTCTCCATTCTCTGTCTAGAAAGACAAAATAGATCCTGCTGTTCTGACTAGCCCAGCATTTCCCACTGATATGTAGATTGCAGATTCAGTTCATTCTCTTCTAAGGCTACCCATGTCCTCATTTTTATTGACGGCGATAGTCCTTACAGTCCTAAACATATTTCAGATATGCTATTACACATATATAATGGCAAAAGATGTTGAAAACAGAGATATTCCTTAGTAGAATGAAGACTGGTTGTCGGGGGAAAGCTAGTCTGGAATTTTCAGTTTATGAGGGATTGAACAGAGCACCTTCCTCAAAAGCCAAGTACAGTATGAGCCTCAGCATTTTTATGGCTATTTTATTTTCATTACAGTAAAATGCAAACTTAGTGGTCAGTAAACTGCCCATTTGTTATTAAACCTACACACTGTCAGTGTCCAGGGGAAAAGTTTTGTTCAATCAGTAAATTACCTAAAGACACTGAATTATGGTCAACAACTGACCAAGAGATGAATGACTACTCTTTATAAAACATTTCAAAGTCCATATATATCCATGAGGAGCAATTTTATGTGTCTACTTGACTTGGCCATGTATTGCCAGCTGTCTGGTTTGTCTTTATTCTAGACATATGTATGAAAGTGTTGGTGATAACAGAAACTTTTAAATCTGGAGACTTAGTACAGTACGTGGAACATTTGAACATGAATAGTCCTCATTCAATCAGTTATAGACCTAGCAAGAAAGAAAGAAAAAAAACAAAACAAAACAACAACAACAAAAAAAATGGCTGACCTTACTAGAAGTGATAGAGAATTGTCCTCCCAGACAGTTTCTGAACTGAAATCCGAGCCCTGCCTTTCTTTTGGTCTTTAACCTGGAATATCACATCTTCTTGGTTTTGTAGCAGTCAGCCAACCATTGGACACTGACTATTTCTTGGCTTGTTGGTCTTCAAAGCTTCAATTACTGCTTTCTTTTTACTTCCATTCCCTCCCTTCAATCCTACCCTTTCCTTCCCTAAACGCTCCCTCCTCTTCCATTTATTATTTATTTACTGATTCAACTATTTATTTTTAATTTTTTGTTTTGTTTTGTTACAGTCTCTCTCCCTCTGTAGTCTACATTAGTTGTGTAAAGTGAAATCTGCTCTTAGCGGTTCACTGTCAGTGCTGATAATTCCTTTCATCCTTAAACAGGGCTCTTACTCATCCTGCACATGAGCATGAGCCACAGCAAAAATAGAAGTGATATTCCCATATAGGATAATCTTTCTTCCTTACATCAAGAGTTAAGTATACCAGGTGATAGCGCATGCCTTTAATCCCAGCACTTAGGAGGGAGAAGCAGGCAGATCCCTGTGAGTTCAGGGCCAGCCTGTCTACAAAGTGATTCCAGGACAGCCAAAGCTACACACAGAGAAACTCTGTCTCAAAACAAAATTAAATTAAACAAAACTACCAAAAGCAAGTTAAGCTCTATGTCTTCCATGAGAAACTCTCAGGTTACACAACAGACAACTAACGTTAAAGTCATGTATTCAAGTCCAATAAGTGATTAATGGGAACTTTTATTACTACAGTTATCTAAAATTCAACTAGAACCCAAATTTCTATAGAGCTATAATCTTTTAGAATGCATATGAAATCCAAAATTATAACTGTATCATTCTAAAAACATGTCCATCATGCTAAAAATCTGTCACACCTCTGATCCATGATTCAGAAAAGTCTAATGATATTCAAGGGTTGTTGGATACTCATCTCCTTAAGCATTTGACTAATGAGTATGTGCAGAAGTTGGCTGCTGTGCACTTAATGGACAGCACAAAGATTTCAACAATGAAATGTACTTTTTCAGTACATTATCTGTGATCATCATCCCTTGCTTTGGGTCTGACCTGTACAAGGGCTAGATAATTGTTTCAGGAATAAAGGCAATGTGGGTACCAATGTGTGGATTCTAATGCATTGGCCATCTTAACCAATGCATGAAGCATGCAGATTTATTCTGAAAATGCAACACTTAGCATGTGCTTGCTTTCAGGAGCCCCCAGTCACAGGAATGCAAAGAAATGGATCCAATAGAAGTCTTTTTTCACAGTGTCATTGTCCCTAATGAAAAGTAGCATACGGTCCAGAAATGATTGCAACCTACTAAGTTGTGTCATTCCCTTGTCAGATATCATGAAAGAAATATTTGAGTAAACAACCTAGTTTCTAGTTCTAGAAAACATGGATGGTCCCAGTCTCATTTTTAAGGAACTACAGAGTATCAATACAGCTTAGTTCATGTTAGTGGGAATAATTTGAGTATATATTCCCTTCCATGAAAGAGTCAAATGTGTCCTGTCAACATGTGCCTCTGCTCATAACTGAAAGTGGGTATAAGTTTTGGTACTTAAAATAAAAAAATGTTAAGTGAGTTGGCCAGAATCACAATAACAGAAATCATCCTGTTAAAAATGGCTTCTCCTTGACTTGACAAGATCCTTCTGTACCTTCCAACCTAGGCAGAGGGTCACTTAGAGGTGATAACAGTGTGATATTTGAAACAAAAAAAAAGCCTGGGAATTTAGAGATAAATAAACATTCCATTCCCCACTTTACAAGACCAATGTGAGACACAGCCTAAACCATCGGGGTTCATGCACCTTCCCTCCATCATTGGCAAAATGAAGTTGCAATATGTTTTCCTTGCCAGAGGACCTTGGCCTCCAAAAAAATATTAAGAGATTTAAAGTTTTGTATTGTTTTTCAGAGAAACAAATTCACAGCAATTAGTATCAGGATTTCACTAAAATTAAAAATGGTCACTTCTTGAAGTCTTGAAAATTTAAAAATTCTTTCTCTGGAAAAATTACCCAATTTGGTTGTAATAAAGTATTTGAAATCACTGGATTTGGCCCAAGCATATAGTCCAGTAAAAGAGAATTAGTCCAGCATGCACATGCACCTAGGTTCCATTCCTTGAAAATCAAAAAATAAAAATAAAATTATAAGACTCACTCTACATGTACCAAAAATGTACCCATGTACTTTTCAGCACTCTCTCTCTCTCTCTCTCTCTCTCTCTCTCTCTCTCTCTATATATATATATATATATATATATATATATATATATATATATATATATATATATATATATAATTCATTTCCAGTGACTGGATTTCTGCTGTTTTCTAAACCTAGCTAATGATTGAAGCATTCTTCTGGAAACATAAGACTGTATGCACATCACCCACAATTATGTAAGACAGCAAATGGATGGTGTTACCTAGAATGCAGAGACCATCTGTGCAGTTTTCGGATTCCTGGCTGAGACCTTCACAGAACTTGCCCCCATTTCTTGGGGGTGGAGCTGTGCACTCACGGATGCGAAGATGTTCACACTCAGGGCTGCAGACTGACCATTCACTCCATACTTCCCAGCTGCCATCCACTTCAAAGGAAAGCAACAGAGGCCACCATTAGTAGAAATCACCAGGTATTGTGAGACATGCCCCACACCTTAAACAGACCACCATCCCAATAAGATCAAACTAAGAGATCAGGGTATCTTCCCTCTACAGTTTAAGACCCATGACTGAATTTAGGCAAATGGTTGAGTGACTGCAATCTTTGATTTGGCTAATAACATCCATTATCCATTCTTTCCCCATCTTTCATGCCCAAGAGCATTACTGATGGACAGGTAGTCATGTGCTCTACCATGAGATGTCCATCAATGCACTGTGGGCTTACAGTTTAGAGTATTGAATAAAGTAGATTGACTTTAAATCCCTAAATTTCCTAAACAATAAAAAGTTAAACCCACGTGAACTGATAGTGTTAAATGAAAACAGGTCAGTGAAACCCCAAGATGGCAGAACCTACAGAAATAGAATTTCTTGGGTCATAGATTGCCGGTGTACATTGAAATGAACAGACTGAACTTAATTCCATTAAATATGAACCCAAGAGACTAGGACAGATGTTTGAGGCAATTGCCCATTACCTCCTAGGAATAGTTTTCACCATGCTTATGTAGGTTAAGAGCTCACAAGGTTTTAATCTAAACCAACTCAGTCAAAAAAGAAAAGAGGGAAATTTTAAGAAGTACTAAATGTGGATCAAAAATGTCTGAGTCCTAGTCTTGGTTTGTAAATATGTCAGCTGAGAAAGTAAGTCACATGTCTCCAATTTGCCGCTTCTGTCATCTGGGGACCATCAAGTCACAATGGAAAGAAAAATGACATGGCATGTATGGAAGTGTCCTGCACAGCACCTGGCACATAGTAAGCACTCAATAAACGTGTATGAAATATAAGGACAAATTAAACTCTGAAAACATGCTGCTGGTCAGAGTCTCACCTTAGCTTCTAGAGCAACTCAGTTTGAAAATTTAACAACACGAGGCTCTGGTTTAGGTCCGTGGTATTAAAGTTGTGTGGTACATTCTCAGGAACACTTTTGTTCTCTGTGGAAGGACATGCTTTCTGTAAAGAAAGCCACCTTCCTCCTTATGTGCTTCTCATTGCATGGACAGGATTTTAGCCAGGAAGAGAGAACAAAAGAACTGATAGAAGACACATTCAGTAAATGAGATCTACTACTTGGAAAGAAAGGCAAGTGCAGGTCAGGTGTAAATACACACCATTGCAGTAGATGATCTCTGCCAAGTGTATTGCAAATAACTACTGTACCGGATAAAAGGTCCAGTTCTGGTTAGTTGCTATTTGGTGCTTGGAGGCAGCTCACCCAGTCCCTGGCTACTGTACTCAAATACATGCCATCAAATGGACAAATCAAGGGGAGAAAGTAGTGGCTTAGTCCAACCAAACACTGTTATCACAAGCCTTGCAGAAAGGGGTTTCACCCATGTTCTTGCCTTTACAGTGCATCCACTATCAGCACCATGGACAGAAGCAATGGTTTAGGCTCTCAGATGTTTGGACGGGCACATTGCTTGCTCCACAGCAGCCTAACAGCATTGGTGGGTTAGGAGGAGAAGGGGATCTGTGTATATCTCACCAGGACAAAGAGCAGTGCAGGTTATTTTCTGCACTGACATTCCCTCACAAAAGGCCCCACCATTGAGAGGAGCGGGGTTGGTGCAGGTCCGGGAACGTTTCTGCCATCCTCTACCACAGCGAACATTGCAGGCTGACCACTCTGTCCAGGAAGACCAGCCTCCATTCACTGAGAGACAAAAATGGGGAGGGGAGAAAAAAAGGAGAGAGGTTTGTACTGATTGCCTACTATGTGCAAGCCACTGTGCCAGGTGCTGTGAGTATCTGGGGAAGAAGAGATGGTGCAAAGTCCCACTGGCTGCTCTGCTGTGAGGCAACAGTGGTCCTCATTCCTCTATGCTTCAGTAAGAGGAACCTAGAGAGTTTGCTTTGCATGAAACTATTAAAAACAGGCAGAGCTCATCAGCAAATCTCTAAGGCACTTGACCGTCCAGAGTATGAGAAGAAAATATCGGCATTTGAATTTCTATTACTTTTAAGTGCTTCAAAAATAAATCCCAGGGCTCTTCTATTGTGGAGAGAAAAGCCTTAACTCAGATAGCTGGGAACTGTTTTTATACAATGCCTGAGATCATCAGCAAACAACAATATTTGGTTTTGGTGCATTTCATCTGGTAGGAGAGGAACTGATTGCCAGTAAGTCTGTGAAGATATGGGGTGGTGGGGTCTGAGTCTGAAAAGGGTGGGGAGCTAAAGTTGTCTACCATGATGCTTTCCAAACATAAACACGATGGAAAAGAAAAAAAACAAAACAAAAACATTTCATTACTTTTAAGAGATAGAAATTGAAAATACCACTGGCTGCCTCACAACAGCCCAGGACTGGATGGACCAGAAAACACATTAATAGTGTTAGGGATGTTTTCTCACCTGGCAAAGGAGTGAGGCTGAAGAGCACTATGGAGAATGACCCAGGGGCCTCTCGGCTCTTGGCCTGGGCAGTTTTAATACAGTACACAGCTCTCTATATCTCCACCTTTAGCCCTCCCTATCCCTTCCTGGCCGTTGGGCTGGTCTTACCGTAGACCACCACAGTTGCAGACAGGCTTCTCCTCTTGGCCACGATGTTGGCTGCCATGCAAGTGTAATTCCCTGAGTCTGAGAGCCGGGCCTGCCTGATGATCAGATTATGGTCAGCCCTGGTGTCAATGTTCTCATCCTGTTCAGAGTCAATGGGCTCCTCATTTTTCAGCCATTCCACCTACAGGTAGAAAAGGAAGTTTACAAATTATCACAAGAATAAACTCACTGCCAGGAATAGAAGATATGTACTTGTGATGTGTGGGGAGAGAAATGGATATAACACACAGAAGTGTGCGGAGCACCCTGCCTTGTATTCCACATTCTGTCTTCATGCTGAATAAATCTGGTTCTATTTGGGAAAGAGATATTCAAGTTAGCAAACTGAAATAGGGAAAAACCCTCAAATACCCTAATATTTAACCCATTTTCTAAAAACGTAGCAGAACAGAAATGACTACGATTAGCAGGTCATCCTTTCATTGGAAACCCAATGATGATGACGGTATGATATTTCAAAGAAAGGCAATGTAACTTTAAAGAATGCAACACATATATGTTGTGCTTGTACTTTGGGCTGAGAGAACACTTTGTTGGACAAAGTTTCAAGTCAATATGTATTAATTTAAGTTTCAATAGAGGCATGATGGTGTAGACAGGCTGAAGAGATGCAGGTGTGAGCAGTCATAGGATCAAACATTGGGTTTTCAGAATTCCCCAGGGTTGGAGAGCCATCCTTCTGAGTTACATCTCCAAGGTTTAACCAAGCCGATCTGGATTGCAAAGAGCACACAACTCCTGTCTTTATCTACCTCTTGTTTGTTTGATCTTTTCATGTTCTTGGAAAAAAAAAAAAAAACAACTACTTTCCACATTCTAATTTGACTTGGGTCCTATTGTTACTCAGCTTTTGTTTCCTGGAGCACATGAAAAAAACACAGATAGAAGTTCCCAATTCTTTATTCTTCCCCAGTAGAGGTGTACACCACACTTAGTTTCCAGGTCAAGTATGTTGGTGGAAGCATTTTATCTCCCATCCTTATTCTTTCCCACCATACTTTCACACCTAAGTCATCAAGTATGATGGCAGAAGCATTCTGTTCCCCATTCCTTATTCTTCCCCAATGGAGGTGTACCATACTTAGTTCCTAAGTCATTAGTAACTGAGTCATTAAACCTTAGATCCCATGGTTTAACTATGTCCTTCTCCCTGTTGTCTTCTCCTCTGTACATCTTCACTGTCTTATGAGATCATGACCACACATGACATTTAACTCAGATTATCAGCATATGTAAAGAACAAATCTGATAAATGTATAGAAAGTATAATTTATCATAGAATCAGGATTCCCAAGAGTTGGAGAACCATGAAGTGAGAGAGAGAGAGAGAGAGAGAGAGAGAGAGAGAGAGAGAGAAAGAGAGGGATCATTTGGATTACTCCTTCAATGGCAGTGAGTATGCTAACAAGATCACATAGAGCATGTTACACAGGGGACATTCAGCCATGCTTGGCTCACTACTATATGAGAGATGGTTTCAGCATAACATGCTTCATTTAATTTTGTTTTTAAATGTAAATAATTCAGATTTATCACTCATAAATTGTATCTGCCATGTAATAGTTTGGCACAGCAAAGAAGTGCTGGTCTCTATAAAAACAGTCATTTACCAGATGAAAATTTAATCATGGTTCTTCAACAATATTTTCCACACATACTGTCCATTTGTTAGTGTATGATACCAAAATTACCATAGTCTAAAATTAACTCATAAAAGCAGCAGTTTGAGAAAGGAAAACAATACCAAATGCCGAGAGTTTCAGAAGAATGAAAAGAGAGATGCAAAATTGGAAGTTACACAGACCATGAAGTAAGAAGCACATTCCATTACCAACCCCTAAATCCCTGAAGGCATTACCACAGTCTGTCATGGAGAGGCACCAATTATTAATCATGCATAGTCAAGGAGTATGGTTCTATCATCCAAGTTACCTTAGGACTTGGTGTTTTACCAAAGCAACAGAAACTCACTTTACAACACATCTGAATATTAGTCTATGACACAATATCTTTAGTTTTTCACTGACAGTGGATTTCACAGTCATTTGGTTATCCATATATAACAAGTAATACAAACACTGACTGAACATCAGAGGTTGCACTGAGAACAAGGTAAGCCCATTTCCAAAATCAAGAAGGAAACTTCCTTCCAAGGTCTTACTTTGAATGGCAAGACAAAAAAAGGAAGAAAATCCATATTCTCATCAAAAGCTGGGAGCAAATAATATGGTCATCAACCTCTTTCAAGTGAATAGAATTAGTGATTCTTTTTTTCAAGACAGGGTTTCTCTGTGTAGTCCTGGCTGTCCTGGTCTCATTTTGTAGACCAGATTGGCCTCAGACTCACAGACATCTGCCTGCCTCTGCCTCCCAGAGCACTAGAATTACAGAGGTGTAAATTTGTGCCCGGCAAATGCATGATTTTTATATCACTCTAACCCCTAAGTCATTATAAGCAGCAAAATTGTTCACAAGGCATGTCTGAGAGCTACTGTTCTGCGTCCGCTCTCCTGGCTCAGAAATTGTGCTGTAAAATGCCCATTAAAGAGTTAATGTTTGATCTTTGCTATTGGTAATGCTTAGAAAGCCCTCCTCTATGTTGTTTTCTGTTTTCATATTTTTCTATGACTGTCAACAAGCAAATCAGTTTTGGAGTGTGGAGTCACATAGGCAGTGGTCCTGGATAGAACTTTCTCAGGAGCCCCAGTGCCTAGAAATCAAAGAACTTGTCCCCAAGAAATTCAAAGCAATATGGAAGATCTATCTTCAGATTGAAAATCTACAGAAAAAAAACCCAACAGACTAAACAAGAAAAAAAATCATCTATGAAATAAACTAGGCCAACTTTACTGTAAATTTGATGGGGAAAATGTCAATATGGATAATATGAGGAAAAATAATGTAAATAAGCTGAACTTTTCTTTAACTTCATCAAAATTTATCCAGTAAACATGGCATAACAATAAATATACAGTTGATTAAGTAAATATCAAGATACCCATGACAATTAAACTGTGTATTCTATATCACTAGCAGTAACTTAAATGATAATGAAGTTTTCCTGGACTATAGTGATAACTCAGTTGGTGAGCTCTTTGTCTTGTAAACCTGAGCATCTGAGTTCCAGTCCTTAAAAAAATCCAGTGTAGGGGTATATGTTTTCTCCTCTCAGTGCTAGGAAGGTGATGATAGGTAGATTCGATAGACTGCTTTGCATTTACTCACACAGTTGTATAAACACACACACACACACACACACACACACACACACACACACACACACACATTTTCTCCTTAAAACAAACAAACCAACAAAACCACACTGACACCCTCACCTACATCACACACAGTCTTTACTTTATGGTTCCTTTGGTTTTCACTAGGACTGCACCATAGGACAATTTACCTTCTTATTTCTTCCCCATTGTCCCTGGAATTTCTATAGCAGCCTGAAGACTAACTGGTCTACCTGCTACTTTCATTCTTCCCACTACACTCCCTCAACTATCAGTCACTTTGCAGCTAGAAATTGCTCAACATTTTTAGTTCTCCTCTAGAGGAAGATACCTCTTCCTCTTCCGTGGTTTGCCTTCTATGTGCTCCTTATGTCAGATCTTCCAGTCAAACCTCACCTTACCCACTCTTCCCTACTCAGACTACACTTTACCCTCTTCCGGAAATTCAAGGCAAGTCCCTTCTACTGCAGCTTCCAAACCTAGAGGCATTCCAATGCTACACCAATGACCCTGCTTACATGATATTCCAGACTTCGATCATATATAATATTCTTTAAGATGTCTTACTGAGAAATGCCTTTTAAACAACAAATCCTGATTACTTCATCTTGCTCTACCTTTCCTCTAATGTTATCCCCACTGTGCAGTGCTAAACATAGTAATACTAGGTGAATTAAGAAACCATTATCTATCTTATCCTTTTGGCATTATAAGCCTAAACATTTGCCAAAATAAAGTATTAGAGATTGGATTAGATAGGGTTTCTATTACTGTTATAAAACACCAAGCCCTAAAGTAACTTGGGGAGAAAGAGTGTATTTAAGCTTACAACTCTCAGGTCATGCCACACCACTGGGAAAAGTCATTGCAGAAAGTAGGGGAAGAACTTTGGTAGAGGCTATGGAAAAAGACAGTGTACTGGCTTGTTTCTATGGTCCACGCACTCACTGTGCGTGTATGCATGCTTTCTTTGTTTCTTTGTGTTTTCTTCTCCCCTTCCATCTCTCTCTGTTCTCTGTCTCCACACAGTGCTGGCTATTTTGGAACTCACTATGTAGACAAGGCTGGGCCTGAATTCACAGAGATCCTCTTGCCTCTGCTTCCTAAATGCTGAGATTAAAGGCATGTGGCATGATACCTGGCTTTCAGTCTGCTTTCTTGTACACCTCAAATTCATTTGTTCAGAGTCAGTACTAGCCACATTGAACTTGGCTCTCCCACATCAATCAGTACAACCAACCAACCAACCAACCAACCAACCAATCAACCAATCAATCAAATACCCAACAGAATTCCCTATTGGTGAGTCTTATGAAAACATTTTGTTAATTGAGAGTCTCTCTGTCCAAATGATTGTAGCTTATGTCAAGTTGATATAAAACTAACAACAGAGTGGAGATGAAAGTTTGATCACAGTGAGTTGTTTTTGTTAGAAAAAGGAAGGAAGAAAATAAGAAAGGAAGAAGGCTAGGAAGGGAGTGAAGGAGAAAAGGAGGGAGAAGGGAGAGAAATCTTGTAAAACAATAGAACTTGGAAACTACTCATGACTTATTAACTTAATTCAGCATTATATAGGCATTAATACAAAGATGAAAGTTAAAATGCAAGCTATATTTAGTGTTATAGATTTGTAAAATGAAAACCCAGTCTCAAACATACATATGCATTAAAAGATCAGAAGTGCTGCTGTATATGAATATTTAAGATCTTAGATGTTATGTTCTTTTACTACTAGTAGTTGTGGCATATTTGAAAGAAAGCATTTGCAATGTGAAAAATATCACTTTGGCTTTGGAACATCTCTTTCATTTATCACACAGCATTGCAGTTTTCAACTTTATATTTAAGCAGAGAATTTTTTTTTTCAATTCAAAGCTTATCTAGA